TTATTTGAATGACTCTATATTGTCTATAAGTAACGTTTGAGTATATGCTTTCATAAATATATATACTCTCTTTAGATTGTTTCGTTTTTAATATAAGAGTGGTTATCGGGAAATAGCAAATTTTTGGTCCCCTCTGTAGGAAACTATTTCCTTCCTCGGGTATTCATTAAATTGTTACTCCCCCATACCCATTTCATAGCTTATGAAATTACTTCAACCTTAACTCTTTGGGTAGAATTGGACTAAAGTCTTTTCACTCCTATTTCAAATCTTTAAAAAGGTGAAGATAACGAACTGTGATCAATTTCATAAATCCTGTAAAAAATAAAAAGTGTAAACAGGTCAAACGTAGGGAAAATCGGGGGAAAAAACAGAAGAGGATTAAGAGTCAAATTGAAGGACTGGAAAGATATTCATTTTGATTTATAGGTTCTTATTCACTTCATATAATTTTATCAAGCAATAGAAAGTTTAATACATGGATCAGGTGTATTTATATTCAGGTTTATCACTAGAGATGGAGCAGGTAATATACAAGTATACTTATAGAATTATTTTTCATATAAATTTAAATTCTTCATTACATGTATTTAAACATGTAATAATAATATCATAATGGAGTGCTTAATATAAGTATATTGTTGAGAACCGATTTTTAATTTAGGTTATAAATGATCGCTTTTGAGTATATTAAATATAATTTTTAAAAATCTTACCTTGTGTTTTGGTCTTATTCATATCGCATGTTAATAAGGCTTTTCTTGTTAAAATTCCTTATACACGCGATTTATATGAAAACAGGGAAGTTTAATTTTTCAATTTTGTAACTATGTACAAGTCCTGCTTTCTCACATCTTGTTTTGTTAAATATACAGTAAGCAGTAACGATCACTATGTAAATACTGTATACAGGGAAATGTTTGCCCCCGTTTTATTTTCTCCCCTTTCGCCCTCGTCGGAAATGAGCGAATTTGAAATTAGGCGAATTCAAAGTAAACAGTATTATATCATTCTTCTTTTAAAAAAAAAAGAAAAAAAGAAACTGTTTCTGGGCGAATTTAAAACGGGGCAAATTGTTTGCAAATGTGAAAAGGTGAAAATACGAGGGTTGTCCCAAAATGTCGTAGACAATGGTTATAACTTTGTAAACATTCAACCAATACTAACAAAATTTTGCATAGCCATAACTTATTCAATGTTCCTTAAAATTCTGAAATATATAACTTTCATTGTAAAGATATAATGACAATTTATAAGAAGGGTGATATGGTCTATCGGTCTATAAAATCCAAAATAATTTACTTATGTAACTATTCCAATTGCATTTGGTTCTCTGGTAGTATGTAAAATATCAAACTCAAATTTAAGCAATGAAATCAGAAACAAAATCTGAATGATATATCAAATTTTCAATTAAATAGGATCAAAGCCATAGGATTGGTGGAGTAATTTTCTAAGTGATGTTGGTATTGTTTGCTGCAAATGACGTCGTCAAACGCACTGGATTTTAAATGCGGTTTGTCCACTTCAGAGATGGAAAAAAGAATACAGAAGTGACATTACACACTAGAGAAGTTGTTTCTAAATGGTATGAAAGTCATTGATAGATTTTACTTTCGTATCGAAAATAGTAACGCATATAAGAAGTAGAGCACTGTTTGTTAAAATCAGGCGGTGAGGAATGTTATTGGCCACGATCGACGTCACATTTTGTGGTTTTCTGCTACCTACTATGTAGGGCGACCTTTCGTCTAAATTTAGATTGAAATTTGAAAAAAAAAAGACTATAGACAGTAGTAATTTTTAATGAGTCCGTCAGACAAGAGTGTTTTTTTATCCTTCAAAGAATAATTGGATGCTTAAGAGACGCGAGTTAAGCACACAGAACAGTACTTAAAAAAATGATCATGACGTTATAAGAGACGCGTAAATTATGTTTGATTTCGTGCGCCGATGTTCACTTACATGCTTCTTTCATTTTCACATTTTTTTTTTCTTATTAAGTGTGTTATCATCATGAAACTTGAAATTCATGATCATAAAATGTTGCTTTATATGTGACAAGAAAAGAAATTTAATTTAGCAAAGAGAAACTAAATTATTTTCCCAGACTACGACTTTTTGGGACAACCCTCGTAACACGGGGCGAAAATAACCATGTATATAGTTATATTTTCATTTAACTTTATTTTTATCAGCTAACCAATATTGAAGGACCCACAATATCTACCTTGTTGCAGGTATAAAACAATATGACAGTTCTGTCGTTTATTTTCGTCAAAGATTATGCAAAAATTACAAGTGGTACACAATGTTTTGATGATGTTTTTGTAATTTATGTAAAGTAAGATTTCAGTTGAAACATTAGATACACATCTTTATTGCTGTGTGTGAGAGGTTCTATGTGTTTGTTTTTTTCCCCGTAGTGTGCCCATCTTTGACTTTTTTCTGATAAAAACGCATTTTTGTTGAAGTGTTGTTGTAGGAGAGCATACGCACGTAAAATGTTTAAAGAATGAAAGTTGTGTTTATGTGATCTTCAACCTTCTTTCACAAGATATCAAGAAGTGTGTTATATGATAAAGTAAAATGATTTTCCTGAGATTGTCTTAATGTTTATTTTTTTTCATAGCAAACCTTTGCTAAGTATACTTAGACAACACAAAGACAATAATTTTTGACATAGAATGTTTATTAATGAGAGTTACAACCTTATCTAATACCATACATTGATTAATTCTGTATACGAATCAAATATGTACAACAAAGTCAACAGGTTAATCATTGACAGGTTTCTAGACTGTTTTTAATAGTTTAAAAATGGTTAAATAATTTGTAAAACTGTTTGAGGATAGAAAATCCATTTGCAAGGAAATCTAAGGGAAAACCCTTAAAACGGAAGGAAAAGCAATAAAATCCTAATTCACATCTCAGATGTTTGGCGTCCATCCAGTCACGGAAAGAAAATCAAGAGAGAGCGAAAGGAAAAGAATATGAGATAAAGAAAAGATGGAGAGAAGATACATCTAGTAAAAAGGAAATAAAGATATTTAAACGGAAGGATAAATACAAGTATAAGCAAAATACTTAATGTAATATTTCATTTCTGTCTTCCATGTAATCTTAGAAAAAAAATCAAGATTGGGGATGGGGAAGGATGAATGAAGGGGGGAAAGATGGTTTAAAAAATCAAGGTAAAGATGTTTTAACGCGGCAGAAATAGTTACCAATTGCAATAGCCAGATCGCGACTCCATTTAAAAAGTTGTAATGATGTCAATGTAACAAATTGCATGAAAATACGCAAATGTCAAATTTTATTACAAACTGATATTATGCTAAAAAATTAATGGCTACACGGCAGTGGTTCTGAATCCTTTTTCTGCATTAAATATGTTCCCATTTAACCTTGATTCTGGGAATGTACGGAGAGCTACTTGCACCTCTTAAAAATACATATAATCCATTTCAATTTTTCTGAAGTCTTCTAACCTTAGATGAGCAATTGTTTCAAGTCTATATCATCTATAAACAAATAAACAATATCATGGTAAAATGCACGAGACTAGGCTTGAAATGCAAAATTAAAAAATAGAATATCAAATTAAGACTGATAAATAAATATATTCAAATAAAATTTTGTCCAAATACGACTTTTCGGTCGCTCTAAAAGCTTGATTAAGGCAAGAATAGTTGATTAACATCTTTTAAACTACCTGGACTAAACTTCTTTCAGTTGATTTGCATGACCAGCGTGTGCATACGATAAATAACCTGCGACCTATTCCTGGTGCCGGACACTTCTGTGCCTGAATTTACTTACATTTTTCTCTCCATTGTATCCGGTAATAGTTCGTGATAGGGAGGCCTGGGTTCGATTCTCGTTTCCCGCGTCGTGTCAAACCTAAGACGTAAACTTACATGTAAGTAGTGACTGTTCCTTAACCAAGCGCCCTACAATAGATATGAAAGTCACGGGTCGTTCGGTTGAGTCCTTGAAAATCGAGGTCCCGTGTCACGGTAGGTGTTGGGACGATAAAGAACCCATCACTGCTCAATGGTCCTAAGTTCCGAGTATAGGTCTAAAATTGAAGCCCTTCACCCGTATATGGTGACGTCTTTATATGAGCGCAAAATTCTCGAATTGGACATTAAACAAAACACATTTAATAAATCAACCAATCTGTACACTTTACGTTCCCAATGTAATTGCTTCTTTTTATGATGCTTTTTTTAAAATCTATTAATTTCCCATCACAATGGTCAATTTATTAATTTTTACAATTTCCATGATGGCTTTCTGAGAAATATTCGAGTGTTAATTTAAAAATGAGTTTAATTTTCAAAAATTCATGAGGACATGAACAACGACGCTTCTTGCCGACATATTCATGTTCAGCGTTACATTATTTGTCTGATTATTTTATTATTTCAATGATCATTTCTGAAACAATATAGTTTCGGTCACTAAAATCTTTACGTCAAGTAAGGTGATATGACGTGACAATGGGGATATTCTTGCTCATTCACGGTAGTTCATGTGAAAATGAACTTTCTCAATTTGCAAAGAATATACGGGGGGATATTTAGAAATGTAAATATTTTTTTAATAAAATGCAACGTCAGATATTATAAAAGTTTTTTATTGTTATAATTTAATCAGACTTTATCATCTTCAAGAAGACTAAAAAGGCAAATGCTATAAGTACTCATAGAAATTTGATCCCTGGTGAGCCAAAATATCTCAAAATATGTGTAATCTCTATACTCTATAGACATTGAATCTGTCCTTTCCTACGTCGCTACTTTACAAGACTCAAGAGTCAATTGATACACAGTAAATGATTGATTTTTTACGATATACAGGTATATACTAAAACCTACCCAAGTTATATTTTTTTCTGTAATAAATTTAAAAATTAGATTTAAAATAGTATAAGCATACTGTATAAAGCATAAGCGCTCATACAAACATCTTTTCAACAAATTTAAAGTGGATGAAATGTTTATATACATGTAGAAATAAAAACATCATAAATAAGAATATCTGCGACATATGCATTGATAATTTAAATGAACCAATATGTTTATCATTATTTTAAAACATAAGAGATTATAACTGAAGTTTCATCGGTTTTTTGTGATGCTTTTTTTCATTGTATTTTATCAAGCACGAAGTATTCATCTGCTGATTGTCTCTCGGTATCAACTATGGACTTATTTTCCTCTAAATTTTTATCATTTTCACCATTATTCACAGTCACAGTGCCGTATCCATCAGCTGGTGTTGATACTCCTGGTCTGGCGTGATCGTAGTACTCACTTCTGTCCACTGTCTCTAAATCTGTTTCATTCAACTGGTTGTACACACCATCATTATTATCAGGGATATTTTCATTCATCCAGAAGGGAGGTTTGTGAGATACTCGTGCAGAATCTAGCTGAAAGATATATATGAAAATACTAAGTAGAATAAATTTATGTGGAAAAATGCTGCAAGTTCCTTTTTTATGTTGCGACATAAATCTACATATTTTAATGTAAAATTTGCTCATTTCAGTTCTTCTAGGTAGAGAAATCTAAGAACTGTTTTTATTTTTTATCTTCCGTCGGTCGCTTTTTGGATCAAGTGTAAGAGATGATTCCCTAGAAATGATAAAATATGCAAATAATTTTTCAAAGAAGCCGAATCAAAACCCTGTATTTACATCATAGACCTTTGCTTGCAAGCCATATTCGTTTTTAACCTACATATGTAGGTATATATTTAGAGTATGTATTAATTTTGATCTTATTTACTTCATGTATGCAGTCCAAACTAATCAGAAATGGTTTCATGGCAACGAAACATGTATTTTTAGGTGTGCCTTTTGGCCCAATGTCTCCCATACGTAAGTAACTTGTATGCTCCTCCTCTCTATTATGAAATGTATTAAGAATTTGCAACTTTATTTGACTTGGTTTAGGAAAATCTAGAAAAACCGTTGTTGAAAACACTGAAGAATGTTTTGAATCTTTTCTTTCCATTATAATAGCTAGTAACGATACATGTATCATACTCAGATATATTATGGTAATTAAAATCCTCTAATGGTTGGTATTCTTGAGTGGTAATAAGCAATCAAGAAGAAAAGTTTCTTGATGAAAGCAATTGAATCCATGGGGGGACTGGCCCCCAACTTTTTCTGAGTATAGTATATTGATAGGGTAAATTTTCCTTTTTATCCCCCCCCCCCTACCTGAAGGTTGAACACTTGCAAATTCCAGGATTTGGACAGTAAATAAGGGTTTTTTCGCTTGTCAGATAGTTTTGGGAAGCCTCACCCTCCCCACTTTTGAAATCGCTGCTATGGGCCTGTTCACAGAATATTTCACCAGTAAATATGTTTGTTTTTATATTTGATAGCGATGAATAAGATTACCCTGTCTTAAAACTTCTTTTGGGGCAAAACTGCTAATGCGTTCAGTGGTTATACTGTTCATAGCTACAAATCATTTTCGGCCAGAAATGCTTACAAACAAAACATCTCTCTTTTAAAAACTTGTCTAGTTATTTTAAAATACTTTTATACTGTAACTGTGCATTTATTTATTTTTTTTTATCATCAAAATGCAATCAGAGTTTTAAGATACACACAAACAGAACAAATTACATATATAAACATTTTGGAGTACCCAAAATTTTAAAAAAAAAATCGTTGATCCTCAACTGACTAGTACATAAATGCCTTTATGTACAGATGTTAAACATTTGTCGAGATTTTGTTTTTGATTACATAATTCCAATAAATTATATTTCAATTGATATTTTCACTTATTTCCTTTTTTTGTAACTGAATTGTCAAATTTTTTCAAACAATGTAAATCTAAATGTTTTTCTTTGATTTTATTTTTTTGGTGCATATAACATACTATAAGTAATTCGGTTAACAAACACATATACGTATATTGATACAGCCAAATCTCACAATATACATGTAATATAATGAACCAACTCAAAAGAAAATGCATCCCACTGATTTCACTGATTAAGGGTCCTCCCATAAATTCTTCACGTACTTTTGGACGATATATCGTGTTCAGTACTGTATATGTACATGTAGAATAAGTATATGAGAATTATCAAATCACTGATAAAGAAAACCAATGAGTAATTTTATTTTTATACTTTAAATAGATAAACATTCAGGAAACTGTTCTATTTAAGACAACTATGAGATTGCTCATCTAAAGTACAGTCTTTAAAACTTCAAAATTCATCAAGTTATTTAGGTACTGAGAAAGAATCGACTTTAAGTTTTAAGAATTTTATTTTTGAAAAAAGACAGTAATCAGAATTTGAGAATTATCAGGTTTAGATGACGGACATTAATATGCAGTTTTCTTATGACAAAATACATGTTAATATGTTGTGGTTACAAAAGAAGAGTTGATGGCGGTACACGTGTATATTGTTCTCAGACTAGATTCCCTGATTAATTTGTCAATGTTTTGTTTCAATTGTATGTTCTCATATTTATAAAAACACTTTCTACCGAGAGCTCTATCAATAAAGATCTATTTGTGTTAAATCGGACTGCTTCCATTTTTTTCTAATTAGATATTCCTGTAGAAGCCGATTAGCAGTTACAGCACTCCAAGAGTTAATTCTCTGAATTAATCATTGAGAATCATTAAGGAATTTATTCCAGTGTGCAAATTTAATGTGTGAAAAATGTATTCTACTTATTTACTTAGACTATCATATACTTTTATCCAATTCTTATAAGTATAAAGTTACTGTGCTTTAGGTATTTAAGTTTAGGTCTACCTTTCCCTGTTCAATGTCGCTGTACATCTCACTACTACCTTTGCTACTCTCCTGATCCATCCGCTTTGAAAGACGAGTATCCGTGTTCATTCGATTTTGGTTTTGCTGAACACTTGCAATTGATTCTGGTTTCCTAATTAAAAAATAAATCTTTATAAACAACAACTAAACAACAAAAACTAAAACAAAAGTAATACTTTGAACAAATTAAAACAAAAGTAATACTTTAAACATTTTTTTTTTTTGTCATTGAACTTAATCAATACTATAACGATGAGATGAAGCTTGAGTTGCAGTATTGAGAGAGCCCATTTGGGAGGTGAAAATCCCAGCATGTTTTCTTGACATTTCTACCTACACATTTTTTTTCTTTTTTATTGATACCACTTAGAAATGGTGCTGATGGTACGTTTATCTTATTGACCTGTGTCACCTTCCCTTTGATTGTGTAAAGTGGCAGTGCATGCTAACAAAAAAGGACAGAATCTATTCCCTATCTAAGTCACATCATGTTTGTTGTAGACTGTTCCATGGCAAAAATTATTCAATTTACTTGAATCAAGAAGTTTTGGATTTTCGATCCGACTCTGTCTTTAAAGAGATTACAAAAACGTTAAGCTTATATCTGAAATCTTTTTTAACAACATACATTTCGTTTATAATTATATATTCATAAATACAGGGTGTAGGTGGGTGGGAATTTTTTAACACAATATAAAAAATATATAAATTTACAATTTGAGATGCAAGATACGCCTGTTCTTCTTCGTTCTTCAAAGGAAAAGGAAGTATACCTAGGATTCGACTAAAATACCCAAAGTTGAAAAATCGGGGAAATGTTAATGACCCGATAACCCCAAATTTGGGGCTCTCTAATAACGTGATTTAATTTTCAGCAATTAAATCGAATTATTATAGAACACCACACAGATCTAAATTTTTTATGTTTAATGGCGAAAATGGCCGTTGCAGCACCACAATTTTCAGTTATCAGCAATTACAATCATTTACTAGTCACAATCGTAACCAAGGCTACCGACCCAAGTACATTGGGCGATTTTGGCAACCCAAATGGTCAATACATGTAAATGATAATACACAAGAAATAGGCAAAAATAGAAATGAATATGAAATAGGCAAATATACAAAAGAAGCTGTTAAACAACGTACTGGCAAATAATACATTGCAAATATTTCATCCAGTCTGACACAAATAAGCAAATTGAATTTCACAAATATTGAAAAATAATTATGTAAAGTTGAAGCGAACCCTGGGAATAGATGCTCACTAAATATAACCTATTTAAGTTCAGCTAAAGATTGCGCGAAATGGACACAATGTATTCACCGCCACAATGGCTGTAGCTGAACGCTTCTGATTAAAAAAGCGCCCCAAAAGAAAAGGCGAATGCACACAAATTAAACATAAAAATATTAAAACAAATGAGCATAAACAATCATATAAACTACAACAGTGTCTATTTAAGTGTGATTTACATTACTTAGTCATGGAAATAGAGTGCCATGGCCATTTTTAAGAAGGAAAAACTCCCTTCCCTGACATCATAAAATTGTGCAAAGTTTTTCTCAAAGTTTCAACAAAGATCTGATTGCCTTGCTCTGACAAATGCATCCCATCCTCTTTAAATAAAGTATGATCAACTGAAGTGAACTCTGGGTACCGAATATATCCCTCTTGATGAGCCAGAAGTTTCGTCGCAACATAGCTATTAACTCGAACCCTTGCTTTATTAAGAGCATGGTTGTCCCTAGCATCACGCCAATTCAATCTAGGTAATACATAAGACCAAATAATTTTGGTGTTTGCTAACAGTACCGAAAGTGAATCTAAAGAATTATTTATGCTATGACAAAAACACATGATAGAATTTGACCAATGTCATTGCCACCGCAATGTAGAACCAGAAATTGTGGGGGATCTGCATACCTTAACATTAATTTGATTTTAGGGAGGAGATGTCGCCGTCTCATGCCGCCTTTTCCCTGCCACCAGATATTAGCCTTCACTGCGGATAACCCAAGATTGGACCCCCATTTTTTCTAGCATGACCAAAAGCATGCCATATTATTGATGATCCAACAATCCATATTCTTACACCTTCTGAAATATATGTAAACAAAAATGAATATAATAAAAATTAAAATTTTGCAGACTCGTATGAAAAAAAAACTATCAGGCTATTCTGCTTGAGGTGCTAACAGTACCACAACTAATTGAGTCCCTAACCATCAATCAAATTTGAGGTTGGTATTTTTATATATCTCTTATATGCTTTAGATCTTCATCGTCCCGATTCTTGAATTTGATCATCTGACATGCCATTAATTGAAGCTGTTGTGGCACCACCTATCCTAAAGGAATGCGACTTGTACTTATTATTGTCTACCCCAATACATGACAACGACTTCTTCAAAATGGCATTAAATTGATAATGGTGACCTGTCAAAATGACAAAAAGGGCCTTCAGTTATGGCACGTTGAACTGAATATTGTTTCAACAGCTTGAATGGACAGATCTTTCCTTCAACTGCAGGTAGAACCAAAACAACCCCCTTTCCAAACCGATCAGTTTTAGAATGAGACAAATCAGTTTTTACATCTGAATTGTCCTGAGAGAATTGGATGCTTGCCGCATCCAAGGCATGAGAACTACTGCTTTTCTTACTATCTAACACCAACTCACAAATCCAAAAAAGGCTAAAAACGAGCAAGAAAAAACGCGGAAAACAATGAAGTTTCATAAGATGATTTACAAACAATTGGGAGATCATTCAATATCTTTCCCAACAATTCTGGTGTAATGGGCAATCTAGCATCCACTGAACTTTGCAATCTTGACATACCTGGCACCATATTTTTGATAAAGATTTGGGTGGGGTCCCGGGTACCATTAAATTTACATTTAAAGCTTATATCTGACAGATAGGTCCTTACAGATGCAGATGACAGTCCCTTTAATGAACAACTAGCTACAAATTCTAATATCTGTTTTTCATCAGGAGGCCAAAAACGGACGTAACCCACAAGATAACCTGAAACAATCAAATTCAACTAAACCTGTTTGATAAGCAAGTCTTGTATTTGGTGAAATTGAACTCTGAACTAATCTGTCAAATTCAGTCTGGAGATGACGGTTTGAAAGGAATCTGAAATTAATGTTGGCTCCAAGACCGCCTGAGGTGCAAGTGACCGAAAGCGCTGAAACTGACAACGAGAAAAAGCATCAGCAACTTGATTATGAACACCTGAAATATGACAAGACTTGAACTGGATATTGTTTGACATGGAATGAAGGGGGCGAAATAAGCACATAACATGCTTAGATTTTGAAGATGTTTTGTTCAAAATTGTTACTAAGTCCTCATTGTCCACCTAGAAAACTATTTTTCTGCTGAATAATTGACTCCCCAAGCATGACTTGCAAAGACAATTGGAATAAGTTCAAGAAATGCGATGTCCCTGATTACTTCAGTACCAGCCCATTCACTTGGCCACTTGAAAACAACCAATGATTCCTAAAGAAAGCACCACAACCTAATTCCGAATTCCCTGTACTGTCCGTAAATAATTGGAGTTGGTCATCATCTACCCAGTCATTTTGTGGAAAGTAACAGCAGTCATTGAACAAATCTAAAAAAGTAAGCCACACATTCAAGTCCTTTTTAACTGCCACAGAAACCCTGATGAAGGAAGTGATGTGATTTAGAAACCCCTTGCATGACATCATAAATACGTCTAGTGAATGCCCGTCCTGACGGTATGGCACGCAAAGAAGTTCATCAAACCTGCAAGAGCGTGAAATTCCTTTAGAGTAGCCTTCTTTCTTGCCATAAAACTGTTGATCAAATCCTTTAAACTACTTAACTTATCAACTCAAAACCCAAAAAGGTTAGGGAAGTTGAAGGCCAAACTGTTTTATCATCGGCTAAGGGGACACCTAACTGCTTGCAAAGCCCCACAAGCAATGACATAAGTTTATCACATGTTTTACTAACTGCTCTATCAGCAAACAAAAAGTCATCTAAGTAATGCACCACAGATTCCTGTCCAGACTGTTGCTTTAATATCCACTCCAAACATGATGAAAATTCCTCAAAAAGACTACAACACACTGAACATCCCATAGGCAAGCATTTGTCAAAGAAAAACATATCATTTATTTTAAAACCTAAAAGCTCAAAATCTGACGGGTGAACAGGAAGCAACCTAGATGCAGACTTGAGGTCCATTTAACCCGTCAAGGCTCCCTTACCCAACAAACTTAGTAACCTAACAGCATCGTCTAATGAGGAGTAATTGACTGAGCAGAAAGTTGGATCAATAAATGAATTAACACTTGAATTTTCAGGATAAGATAAATGATGAATCAACCTAAATGAGCCATCCTTTTTAGGTACTAAACCTACAAGTGAAAACCTAAGATTGGGAGGGGGTCTTGAATGGAGTGGACCAGCGACTCTTCCAGCATAAATTTCTTTGAACACTTTCTCAAGAATTTCAATTTCATTCTATCTAGCTGATTTTTAATTAGAACAATTAGTAGCTACCCTTGGACCATTGTAATTTTTTTTAAACTTTTAGAAAACCCCTTTAGCAAAATTTCTGAACTCTTCCTGTCATAATCAGAATTTTGTAAATAAGCTGCAAGAACTTCCACCTTTATTCGAGAAAAACCTAGGCCCTGTAGATTGGGGTACACTGGGGAATCGCGCTCTAGGCCGTTGGAGTGGTCTTGATGACGGTACCTGGCTCCTGTATTGTAATGGGTATCCTTGACCTGAAAAATCTCTAGCAGCATATTGATTTTTAGAAAACGGGCCCATACACATAACTGATGGATGAGGGCTGCTGCAGCTCAAACATTTATGCAAATAATGGCACTCTTGTTTTACACAAACCCCATAATTGTTATAGTCATAGCATTTGAGAAAACGCCCCCCTGCTGAAGGTTTTTGCACAGGAGCAGTAAAGGATGGTACCATGTACATAAGCCAAAGCTCCTGATCAACTATTCCCCATGAAGCACTTGAATTTTTTGCAATTCTCATTCGAAATTGTTCATCATAAAATTTCAATCCTTTACCTGCACATCTGCTAGTCCCTAGTCGAACAATGTGGATGTACTTAAGGAAGCCAAAAACTTTCGTAGGGTGTACAGTGGCATATATTGAAGAGAAAATCAAAAATGCATCAGTCCACTGCTGTACATTTGTAATTTTAACTGTAGCCCGTTTCGGTTCAATTACTACTTGATCATCAGAGACTGTTAGTGTTTGATTACCATCCATCGGGGCCGGATTGGATAGTAGCTGACCTATAAATCGATGTATTATCCCTTAACAATTTTTTGTTTGATTGATTCTGAAACATTTGCCCCCAGACTACCATATATACTAACAACTTCGTTACCTGTTGTATCAACATGATTAGCAGACTCAAAACTGACATCACTTTCATTGATGGAAGGAGTAGCCACACTTGAATAAGTTGTAGTAGTGGAACCGGTTGTACTGGTGTGTTTTCCTCTGATACTGGAACGGAGATATCCAGTGTTGAAACTTCTGAGGATGTTGAAACTGATTCCCTTTTCCGTTTACCCGGTGGTGCTGGCTCGGCAGCGGATTGACGCTTCACCGGCTTGGCAGCTGGTTTTCCTCTCAACATTCTGCTTTTCTGAAACTATCGACTTTAGAGTAAGAAGTAATTATTATTATTATTATTATTATTATTATTATTATTTAATTTCACACCAATGTTTGTTATCTCTGTGTTACAATTTTTTTTAAATGTGTTTTTTTTAATTCGAACAACATCCAACGAATTATTTACGTAATGATGCATATAAACACGAAATAAACATTGCTCTGTTCTCCTTAAATTTCAATGGATAAACTTGAAATTTTTTAACACAATATAAAAAATAAACAAATTTACAACTTGTGATGCAAGATACGTCTGGTCTGCTCTTCTTCGTTCTTCAAAGGAAAAGGAAGTACCTAGGATTCGACCCATGGTTGAAAAACCGGGGAAATGCTAATGACCCGATAACCCCAAATATGAGCCTCTCTAACAACGCAATTTAATTTGTATTGTGATAACTAATCGTTATTATCTTTTTTACATGATAATCACTAGATAAATCTAGACTTTTTTTTTCAAAATTCAAAAAATTCATTAACTGAGGAATAATGGATGTAATATACGTACATGAACGTTCATCTCTGTTTTCCTCTCTCATCCAGATTGAGGAAGACTCGTTTTTTTAAAATAATAAGTTCCATTGACTAAAAAGGTGTTTATATATTGCTGGTTTTAAATGTTTTGTAATAAATATTAATCTGGAAACTTAACATAGTTAGGAAATAAAGAAAAGGTTTTGTGAGATTTAACATGTGCTTTATCTAACCATTAAATGAAGAATGAGGTAATATACACATTAGGAGTATTGGATGAAACTACAACCTAAGGGTTGAGTACACATAGGCGTCTGCCCACACTAAACATTATTTATAATTTCAAATACATTTTACTGCTCTTTTTCTCAGAATATTTTTAAATGTTGAAAATGAACAAATGGAAGCTTATTCATTTTCGATGTAATTCCACACAGGGTCTGTAATCGTGCAGTACCATTTCTGAGACATTTTTGATTTTTTCTTTTTTCAGAACATTCAGAGTGTGGTAAAAATCATATATTCTGTTTACTAAAAAATGAATAAGGTAGAAATATTTTTTCCTAATATCTATTCTTGAAGGAAGAAGGCGCAGGTTGTAAAACATTAAATCATCATTGGCAGAACTTAATACTTTTAAGTATGAATTTAAATTTAGGCATGTCCAGATTACCATTGCAAGAGCACAAAGCATACTTTTGTGGGAAGAAATCGTAGTTCTGGAAATTGTTTTCTCGGTATTTAACGAAGGGAAAACTGGTGCTGAACTCCGTATCTCACATGGCGGACAATCTAAAAGAAATAACAATGATTGATGGTAAAAGAAAAATTTTTGAATGTTGAAATAAATTTAAATTTTCAATATGATTTATTGATAAATAATCAATTTCCTGGAAATTATTTCATTTCAAAGAAGAAATATAACAAGCTAGATGAGAGCTTACCTCGCGCAGCAGAAATGGTGCCCTGTGTAATCGAATCTGGACATTCATTTCTTTTAATTGAAAAGAAATCTATAAAACAGTCTGAAAAATTCGAAATTTTTAAATTAAAATGAAAGTGGCACCTGGTATATTGTCATTGTAAGAATATTTTTTCTGATTAAGTAAAGGTGTGTTATGTTCATAATTCAAGTTTATACATCGAAAGTGAAGGTCACAGAACGGTTTCTAAACTATAACTGTGGAGCCTTTGGTTGGAGTACATGTACGTGTTTTAAACTCAATTGTCTTATTGGTCATGACCTTTAGGTGTGCAACGCAATTTGCTCTGAGCCATATAAAGATCATGGTCATGTATCATATTTTGGGAATATGGGTTTTCTTGAATGTTTTCTTGAATAATAACATTTCAAACTGGCCACCATAAGTAAGTTAATATGTAGCTGAAAAATGTCCAGAATTGTGAGTTTCTGCGGTTTTAAAAACGTTTAGCAAATAACAAATTTTCAGCCATGAAAAATTTACTTGTATACTATTATAAAAGAGGTTCTTTATCTCACTAAAGCACCCCTATAAGTGCTGTATTGTGCGCTGCACGGTGTTTATAATACTACTTTTTCCGATTTGTTTCATATTGATTTCCTTTTGCTTATCATAATATATTGCATTTTTTATTCAATGTATTCATGAGTCAGTAATTTTACTCATGAAGCAAAACAATTACAAGTAAACTTTTTTGTCCTCAGTATATACAATTTGCCTTGCAGTAATCCATACTCACATGCTTTTAAGTAAGGGAAGGGAAAATCAGAGGTACAAAATTATAATAATGTTATGTTTTTAATATGTTGCAAGTCACGATTTTCGCGAACTAAATTAATGACTTCGATAAAGGGAATAAAATTGGGTTTGTGATATTTTGATTCTGAAGTAGGCCCCTCTGTTTTAACACACAAATGCCATAGTTCTGTCCATTCACGAAACACGTGATGCAGGCGATCACGTGACAAGTTCCGTGGCGTACTATTCACAGAAGCCCAAAGATTTTCCCGGGTCTTCTATTAGAATAACCCATATGTCACAATAAGCCATATCTCAACAATCGAATTTCATTACCCAGTATAAGCATCGTGTTCATCACAATGCGACTCCTCTGTCTTTTTTTTTTTAAAATTGTGGATCAAGTATGTGTCCTCTCTATTTATTATATATGATCTGTAAACAGTCTAAAGTTACTGAAATTCTAGATCCATATCGTCCCATAATTGCTTTACTGGAGAGGAGACAATTTGGGACATAATGGTTACCACTCTCAGTCCTTCCCTTGGTTGCCACAAGGAAATCTCAGCAAACCCAAGCAATGTACGTTTTTTTTACGTTGAACTTCCAAAATAATGGCCTGAATGCTTAGGTGTCTGCTTCAACGAGACTTTTGCGTACAGATGCCTCTCTAATTCTGGCATTGTGGTGTCCAGGAATGCTACTGGCAGTTTCACATGCAGTTAGAAACTTGTTCCGTCGGTGAATTTAACTTATTTTTCTTACCAGAAGTCCCGTTGTCCCCTTTAGACGGTCTATAACGTTTCCTCTTAACATAAGTCTTTGTTGTAGACGAGATACAATGGATTTAGATGCATTAAATTGCTCAGAAATTTCATTCTGATGGTGTCTTTGCATTATCAAGCCAACAACAAAACTTCTTAGAATTTCAATAAGTCTTTTACGGTCAAAATTTGTTCAAACTCTCGCCGGACATTTTCAAAAACATTGCTGGAAATTGCAAAAATTTTTCAACTTATCCAAAATTCTAGCTAATATATAACTTTCAATCCGAAGCTCAAAGGCAATCATCTTGTACTCGAGCACGCCATGTAGAGTCATTCTTGAATAATCTTCTATCGCACATCCATTTCTAGATATTACGTAAAGCCCAAATCATTTCAAAATAATTTTAATCATGATAAGATGCATTTGTAATAGATTCATAATAGTAATGCGTTTCTTTTTTCCTTTCAGTACTGCAAAGGATTTTCCAAGATTTGTGTAAAATTTTACAGCCTTTCCTTGCTCAAGTAAAACTGAGTCAACCACTTTTTTTTCACACGACATCTACATGTTGACGTAATATTCACATAGTGACGTCATAAATGTTACGTAACACGCTGTTAATAGAATATATTTTTGACTATATGTGTATGTATACCGAATATTATTCTGATCTGAATTGTCGCTATGTAGATACAGAAATGGTTATAACTTTTGAACACCCCTCGTAATTTTTTTCCCCAAATTTAAGGTAGTACAAACACCTATTAAATCTATTTTAACTCATTTCTTAAAAAGTACTCGAGAAAAAAAGAATAATATTCCCATATTGTCAATAATAAATGATCTTTGTAAGCAAAATAATAAGCTGTGGCATGTTTTCATCATATTTTGTTAAAAAAATAGTGATATCATACATACATGTATTGCTCACTTGGGAGCCAACATTTTAGAATGTCTTTATGCTGTCTAAATGCGATATAGCAGTCTGTTATAACCCTAACAAAAAATACTATAGTAAACTATAGTTAACTATAGTTTACTATAGTTAATCAAATAATATAGTAAATCAAAGTTCCAAAGTTTTCACTATAGTAAATCAAAGTTCCAAAGTTTTCACTATAGTAAATCAAAGTTCCAAAGTTTTTACTATAGTAAATCAAAGTTCCAAAGTTTTCACTATAGTAAATCAAAGTTCCAAAGTTTTTAGTATAGTAAATCAAAGTTCCGAAGTTTTCACCAAAGTAAATCAAAGTTCCAAAGTTTTTACTATAGTTATTTTAAAGTTTCAAAGTTTTCCCTATACTTAATCAAAGTTTCAAAGTTTTTTCATTAGTTTAACAAGTTATGTATTTTTATTAATTTATTTTTATTATTTAGCCATTTCAGGGGAGGGGGTGAATATGGGGTTGGTTGAGGCTGGTTTTTGTTGTACATCTTTATTTAAATATACAAAGTAGTTATATTAATTCAAATACAATATTTACATTTATAAATGTAAAAAAAAAATACATATTGACTGAAGTTGATGAAACAAATATTTTGATTCAAAATGACACAATTTTTTTCATATTTTATTTTTTCTCCATAAATAAGACTTACGTTACATCTGCATAACATTAAAATTAAATACATGGAAATAAACATTGCTTATTTATCGGTGCAAGCGACAACCTTTACATTAAAATTCATATTTTGTACATTATTCTTTTAAAGGAGGGGTCGGGTTTTTTAAAATGTTCTCTAAAGCTTTAATGGATCTAAATTGAAACATCATAAAATGTAAAGAATGGTAATCAAATACATAATTCCTCGGGATTTATCTTACTGAATCAAAGTTTCAAAGTTTTTACTATAGCAAATCAAAGTTCCAAAGTTTTTACTATAGTAAATCAAAGTTCCAAAGTTTTCACTAAAGTAAATCAAAGTTCCAAAGTTTTTATTATAGTAAATCAAAGTTTCAAAGTTTTCACTATAGTAATTCAAAGTTCCAAAGTTTTTACTATAGTAAATCAAAGTTCCAAAGTTTTTACTATAGTAAATCAAAGTTCCAAAGTTTTCACTAAAGTAAATCAAAGTTCCAAAG